TATATCTCTATTGATTTATTGTATATTTATTTTATTTGTAAATGTTGTATGCAGATAAAACACATACATACAACAAGATGTGTTTCCAAATCAAATTACTCCAGTGTTCCAATGTTCACCAGCTGCCAGGCGAGGGTCTCTAGATTTCATCACAGACTTTCCCGCATCCTCTTCTCCTCTCCTCCTCCTCGCCCTCGGATGCTTGCAAAAGATGCTTTGATGCCAGATAGAATGCGAGATAGAATGTCAAAGTATGTGCCAGAAAGAATGTCAGAATAGATGCCAGATAGAATGTCAGAATAGATGCCAGAAAAAATGCCAGAAAGAATGTCAGAATAGATGCCAGACAGAATGTCAAAATAGATGCCAGGTAAAATGTCAAGTCGGAGTATATACCACAAAGAATTCGGAATGGTGTGTCGGGGTGGGGACCATTCAAAGAAAATATTTATGTTCAAGGGCATCGCCCTGTATGCCGACCCCTCCTTACGCCAGGTACAGTTGAACAATATGTATATTATATATATATACACACATATTATCCCCATAAATGCTTCCAGATAGTAGCCGAAACTATGCCAGAATAGTGCTTCAGGGCGGGGTCCACTCCAAGAAACTAAGGGAAATCAATGTTTTCTATTCTTGTTGACCACCAAGGTATGAGACTCTCACATGGGTGGTCCGACGAAAGGCGGCGATTGAATTTCTCCTTGCTGATGACAGCTATAATTCAACCAGTAAAGAGATGTCACAGAAAGAACTTGACATGCTCACATCGGTGGCAGATGGTGCGTCTAGTGAAGGGTTGAAATTTTGGGCAACCTTTACTGTCAAAGTGCTTTCAGATTGGGGCGTCTCCACTTCAGTGTGGTTCCGCGGTTGCCAATGCTCCCATCAAACTGAGAAGGAACAGAAACAATGTCCGTTGAAAGGCCGTACGGGAATCAAATTGGCTTGCGGGGCATGGAAATCGTTTATTGAAGATCTCAACAAGCTAACGTTGAACAAAGATGCTTTGCTGGCCATTTCAAAACTGGAAGTGTTGCCAGGTGGCCAAACTTTTTCGGCTTTTCTGCAAAGATGTTTCCAGGATTGCAAAAACAAAATGGAATTGCGGGCCCGCCACGCCTGGACATTTTGGGGAGATTTGCCATTCAGCATTTTAGAATTGGGCCGCCACTATGTTGACAAGACCATTGATGAAGGGTGGTCTAGGAGAAGAGCATTGGAATTGATTTCCAATTTCGATGCTTGCCAATCCAAGACATCTTTGGGAGCAGTCAGCTGGGTTTTCTTTGGGGATGCTGTAAACAGAGCTCATATGTTTTCATGGGCGCAAAACGGTAAGCCCTTAGCAGAGCATTTGCGCCACCTTCTTTTGGGATACTGCACCAGTCTCACAGTTATGCAGCGCTTGGAAGCCAGACATCACCTGGTCAATCTCTCATTGAGCCGGGGACGGGCCCTCAGTGTGCCGGGTGTCATTTCTTCTTTGAGACGCCGTGCCAATGAAGATTTAACCAACCCATCATTCCGGGCATCTTTGCAAGACTTGCTGAACAATGTTGACCAATTGGTTCCTGAGCAATGGGATTCACAAAAGCAACTCCTAGAGATAGTTTACGGCCACGGACTAGACCAGCTTCACCCTGACACCACATGGGAAGAACAGCAGATGCAAAGAATTGCAGATCAAACCCTCCAATCACCACCTTCTTCAAGACTGGCAACTTGTCAGTCCTGTAGCTTTGTGTTGGCTTTTCAAAAAAATTACCACCGTAGTTTGGCAGTTAGTAGTTTTTCAGTCTTCAATTCAATCTTCAGAAATATGGTATTTTTGTTGGGCAATGTCTTTTCCTCATCTCAGGCAGTCCTACAATCAGAACACCTGCAAACAGTTTTTGGAAGTAATGATGATCAGAAGGCCCGAGATGTGTTTGCCATTCCAAGCGCTGCCAGGGATTCCTCACAGCAGTATATCGTCTTCAAGGTGGTGTCCCTGCATCCAGATCGCCGCAGCTACCTCCAGCGTGCTTTTGCATTGGCTCAGGATGACCCAAGCTCAGATAGATGCAGTGGGGGGTTCGGGTCGGGGTGAAATATTTGCAAGTTGAAAGTTGGAAGGGGAGCCTGTACTGTACCCTGTCCATCGGATATTGATCCTAATCAATAAGTTTTTGAGCTTATTGATTCCTTGAAAAAATCAACAGAAAATATTGATTTCATAGGGTTTTCAAATCAACAGAATATTGATTTTTAAAATCAATATTTCAACAAAAAATCAACAGAAAAATCAACAGGAAAATCAACAAGAAAATCAATATGAAAATCAATATTTCTAGGAAAAAAATCGACAGGAAACCACCCAGGAAACCACCCTTTTTTGTCCCACAGAAGAGCCACTTGTGGGCTTAAGGCACACACCTTTTGTCAAGGTGCACCTATGTTGTTTTGTAAAGGAAGCTCTGCAAGCCTTGTGTCAAGGCTAGCCTCTTGCCAAGGCTTCTTGTTGACCAAAACCCTTTTGCCAAGGGAGTTCCCACAAGGAAATTCCTTTTTGTCAAAGGGAGATGCCAGGATCCTTTGGTCAAGGTGTGCCTGGTAGACAAGGAGCTGACCCTTTTGCCAAGGAAAGATTTTGTGAGCAGGGTGGGCAAGGATAAACCCTTTTGTCAAGGTATTTCCATGCTTGGCTCCCAACGCGCATTGTCAAACCCCAGCCTGTCGAGCTGGAGGTGCAGGAGCACTTGGTATTTGTCATTGATTTTGGAGCACAGCCTTGTAGACTTGACTCCATGCACCACACTGGATCCCAAAGTGCTCATCCTGCCCACAAAATCTTCTGACCTAAAGTTCCAGCAACACCTGGGGTTGATATCACAGGAGCTCTTGACCATGTGACCACAGGTGTGAAACTTCATGGTGATGTGGAACAAATATCTGCCAGCTTCTTCTGCCCACTCATTCAGCCAGGAGTAGCTGGAAAAGAATTGCCTGGCTAGCTTCCTGGCCTGGCCATATGTCCTTTTGTCAAGGAACATCCCAGCATCATCAAAAAGCTGGATCAAATCAACCATGCTTGACAGAGCATGCACCATATGTTGGTGCACCTCATCTGTTGAATCAAGCATGGCTTTGATCACAGGCAGAAGAGCAGGCATGAAATGCTTGCACTCTGCTGCTTTGCAGTCCAGCTTTGGGTATTCCTTGTGTGGACTCTTCACATCACAAACCATGGAAAGCTTTAGGTTTGTGAGCCTTGTGGGTCTTTTTTGCTTTTTGTATTGGTCCTGGACTTGGGAAAATATAAGTGCTAGCCTGTCACTTGGTCTGATGGATTGCTTTCCTTTTCCATCGAGGTAACACAAGAAATGTAAGATGCTGCCACAAAGGTGTGAGCAGACACCCTTTGCAAACAAGACATGGAGGCCATCATGCCTCACCATCTTGGTGCTCAAGCCTTCAATTTGGAACAGAGGGTGCTGTTCCATGCCTTTTGTCAAGGCTTCTGCATGGCTCAAGCATTCAAAGGCCTGCTCTTCTTCCTTCAGCAACTTAAAAGATTTTCCTTCAGGGCATGGCACCCCTTTTGTCAAGGGTTGCTGGCAGTCACACTCCCAGCAGGGAAACTTGCTGTTCCAATGAGGGAGGCCCAGCACCAGGCTGTACATCTCATGGTCCCCTTGGATGGACCACACCACACCTCTGAAGCCTTGAGGAGTGAGTGGTGTTCCAGCCAGTTTTTCAAACATAGACCCTTTTGGCAAGGGCTCATTGTCTGGCCCAACACAGGGGTGAAAGCCATCTTGCAAACTTTCCAGTGACCATTTGATGTACTTCATGATGGGTGTCCAGGTCGACTCCATGGTGCAAGACTTTGGAAAGGCACAGATCAGCATGTGGCTTTGGAGGCTGCTGAACTGTGAAAGCAACCCTCCCCAGTTCCAGCACATGATAGTGTCCCTGGTCTGGAACTCCACACCATCTGCATGAATGAACAGTGGCACTGTTCTTTCAGCATTCACCACATGCCTTTTGGCAAGGCCTTGCCTTTTGTCAAGGCAGATGGGGTGGCCTTGCAGCCTCTCATCCTTGACTGCTTCCACATTTTTCCAGAATGCTGCCAGCTCAGAGCATTTAAAGATTTTCTCAAACTGCTCTGAGTAGGATGTAGCAAGGTCTGCAAAAAGCAGATGTGGCAAGTACAGCGAAGCAGTTTCAACTCCCACCTTTGAAGTCTTTGGGTCCCTGACCTGCACATCTACTTCATAGGCTTTGGTCAATGCATTGCTCTTGCAATGTGTTGACATGAAGTCTCTGTGGCAGTTGCCACTGGCCTCGCCCCAGTTGCCAGCAGATGCCATCTGTATCAATTCCTCATGGTGGGCTCCATCCAAGACAGCCAGGTGGGCAAGCTGCTGGCAAAGGGTGGCAGACAACTGCCCATGGGCCCACAGGCTCAAGAGCTTGGTGACCAAGCCACTTTTCTCAGCCTGTGCACCTTTTGTCAAGGGCTTGCCCTTCCTTTTTTCAAGCTCCAACTGGTGACCTCTCAATCTTTTAGCCTTGGGGAGGTCCATGATTTGAAGCACCCTCTTGTCAAGGGTTTTCTATGTTCTTTTGACAAGGACCTCCTTTTGTCAAGGACCACTAGCTTCTTGCTAATGGTTTTGCCTTTTGCCAAGGGAAAGAGATTCCTAACTAAATTGAGCCAAAAAGCTGCAGACATATATCTACATTTTAGTTAGGAAAGCATTCCCCATACATCAACCCTTTGGACCACCACAAACCCTTTAAGAACCCAAAAAACACAAAAACAACACCATTCCTCTTGAGGGTTTTTTGGGGTTATTACTTTACATCCTGGCTGTAAGCTGCAGCATTTTTTTAACACACAGCTGGGTCTGCCTTGCAGCTGTTCAAAAACATGTGCACCAAGGGAGCCTTTTGCCAAGGCTGCTGGGACCTTTTTGTCAAAGGTAATGCAACTTTGCCGAGGATCACTTGGCTGTTCCTGCCTTGGAGTAGGCTTTGTTTGCCACAACTGAGATCTCCTTCTTCTGATCCTTCAGCTCCTTGCTCAGTGTGGTGGCATCCTGGATCAGACCTTTAGCTTTTGTCAAGCTAAGAGCTTTCTTCCCCTTGAGCAAGAGGTCTTTGCACTTCTTCTCCATTGCTTGGGCTTTGCTGAGCAGTGTGTCTGCATCCTTCTTGGTGCCCTTGCTCAGCCTTTGGCAGCTGGCAGCTTTTGCCATATCCTCCTGCAGATTGGCCTGGCTGCTCACCAAGAGGTCCCTGGCTTTCCTTGCTTTTGTCAAGCATGTGGACCACTCCTGGTCCTCTGTCTTATCATCATTGTCATCATCCTCATTGGGGTCACCATCTTCCAAAGCCAGTTGAGGCTGTCCTCTGGCTTTGCCTTTGCCCCTTCCCTTTGAGGCTGGCTTTCCTTTTGTCAAGGCTTTGCCCTTCCCTTTGCCTTCCAGTTCCAGAAGGTGGCTGCTGAGGTCCTTGGTGAAGTGGCTGTCCCAAGCTTCTTCATTCTCAGCTTCATATTCCTGCCCCCAAGCATATGCATTGCTATGGGTGACAGTACTTGTTTTCTTGATGTCCCCCTGGTCTTGGTATTGGTAGCATCCCCCTGTCCATGGGTCTGCTCTCCACTTCACTCGACCAGAGGCCAAGTGAAGCTCCAGCTCTTCTCTGGAAAATTTCTGCAGCATCTGAAGTTCTGACTCCCATGTTTCTCCTTTTGTCAAGGAGACACCTGAGTTCAACTCCTGCTTTAAGGCCATGAACTTGGGAGCCTCAGCCTTCAAGAGGCACATGGTGGCATAGATGCCAATTTCCTTCTTGGACATGTTTTCCACCTTCTTTGCTTCTGCTGGGTCATTTTTCATTTTGGTTTTCATTTTGGACCATGCACTTTGCTGCTCCTTGGGGGTCAATTGTTTTTTCAATGCTAGCACTGCCTCTTCTGCAGTCTCAGCTCCTTCTGTGGCTTTCTTGATTCTTTCTTTCAGGCTTAGCTCCCCCAGGTCATCCAATGCTTTTTTGTTCAAAGCATTTTTCTGCTTTCCTTTTGTCAAGGGTGTGTCCTTGCTAGAACCTGCCCTGGTTTTAGTTTTAGCTTTGGCCTTGGCTTTACCTTTTGGCAAGGTTTTCATTGCAAATTTGCCTTTTGCCAAGGCTTTGCTCTTTTGGTTTCCTTTTCCACCTTTGCCCATTTCCCTTTGGCCAAGGGAGAAGGTGCACTAATACACTTTTGAATTGCTTGAGAAACAAAATGGCTGAGGTTTGGCAAACCTGATGCACCATCACAAACATTGCATGCTATGGGGCCTAGTAAATGCAAACTAAAGTAAATAATGTGTTGAAAATAATATATATATATATTGGACTGTTTGGATTGAACATATATGTTAAAAATAAAAACATATATTGGACTAGTTGGGTTGGACCAACAACTACAACATTTTCCAAACAATGAAACCACTATTTAAAAAATATTTCAAAAATATTTCAAAAAATATCATGAAAAATGAAATCAAATGAAAACTGATGAAATCTGATGAAATCTGATGAAATCTGATGAAATCTGATGAAAACATAGGTTTTCATCAGATTTCATCAGATTTCATCAGTTTTCATTTTTTTGATATTTTTTGACATTTTTTTCCCAATCCAAAATATTTCTGATTTTTTTTTGGAAACAATATTTGAGCCTTTTGTCAAGGCAATGTGCTGTTGATTACTTCAGAAACCACATGAAAACTGAATGCCTTTTGTCAAGGCAAACTGTGTTTCCAAAACTGAAATATGTTGTGTTTCCCTAGATCCCAAACCAATGTACACCTGAATTCATTGTGGTGGTTCCCAAAAATGTTTTGATGACAAATGGGTCCCTTGACAAAAGGGTTATTATACCCACTTATTATTTGATGAACCATTCAAAAATGAAAACAAATTACACACCTTTGAGGGGCTCCCAATCAAACACCCTTAGCCCAATTTTTTTTTTGCTGCAATCCTGCCAGCATCCATGAACCTTTTGCCAAGGTTTCCCATTGCAGTGCCACAGCCTCTTGGGCCTTAACAAACATTGTGGACCACACCAGTATGTATACATATATATGTTTATGTATGTATAAGTGCTGTAGGAGATTTTATTTACTTACAACATTAGACTGTTTCAAAAAAAAATCAAGAGGCTGTGGCAACTGCAAGGTTTTAAAAACCTAGGGGCATGTCTTTGCTTAGACCTGCCTAGACAAAATCTGTACAAGGGTGAAACATGCTACAACCTTTTGCCAAGGTTTCTTGTCCTTTTGTCAAGTTTCTTGTCCTTTTGTCAAGGTTTTTTTTCTATTGGTGCAACCTTTTTGTCAAAGGTGCTGCAGCAAGGAAGTCTTTTTGCCTTTTGTCAAGGCTTGGGAGGCTTTTGTCAAGCCTTTTGGTTTTAGATGCTTTTGCCAAGCCTGCCTGGACCACCATTGGCTCTGCCCTTTTGTCAAGGGTTTTCCTCCTTGAGGATGTCAATGGCTGCAGCTGCAAAGTCAGAGAAGCAGCTTTGGAGCTTAGGCTGCCCCTTTTTCCTTCTCTGACCAGCAGGCACAATGGGGTAAGCCTGGATGCCAAACTGAATGGCTTCAGAACAAATGTCAGCATTGTCATCCACCAGCTTGCTTACCCCATTGTCCAGGCACCACTGGGCTTTCCCTTCCTTGCCACATTGCTTCCAGGTGAAGCTGACAGAGGCCCAGCCATTCCATTCAAACCAGGCCCAGTCATACACCTCATGGCTTCTCTTCCAGCCACAGTAGCTCAACAGGTGCACTTCATACCCTGCATCCTTGAGCTTCTGCAGCCATGGGGTGGCTGTGAGGTCATACAGGTTGTTATGCACCAGGACCTTGTGCCAGTCCACTGCAACCCTCTTGGGTGGCTGCTTTTTTGGCAAGCCCTTTTTGCCATCATCCCCTTTTGTCAAGGGGTCAGGGCTGCCAGGTGATGGTGTGCCAGAGCTGGCACTGGCACTGGAGCTACTGTTGCCCCAGTCCACACTCATTCCATCATCACTGCTCTGTTGGCTTGATTTTTTCCTTTTGGCAAGGAATCATCTTTTGCTTTTGTCAAGCCTTTGCTCTGCTCCTTTTCCTTTGCTTGTTCCTTCTCTGAAGGGCCAAGTTTCTTTGACACCCCATCTTTGGAACCTTCAGGAGGGACACTTTCCTTCTGCTCCTTTTGGCCAGGAGCATCTTTCTTTTCTTGCTCCTTTTGGCAAGGAGTTTCCTTCTTGTTTGCCTGCCCCTTTTGGCAAGGAGTTTCCTTTTTCTTTGGCTGCTCCTTTGGGCAAGGAGTTTCCTTTTTCTTTTGCTGCTCCTTTTGGCAAGGAGTTTCCTTTTTCTTTGGCTGCTCCTTTTGGCAAGGAGGTTCCCTTTTGTTTGGTTTCTCCTTTTGGCAAGGAGGCCCTTTCCTGGGCTTTTTCCTGGATGGCCCAACTTCCACCCATCCAGCTGCTTGGCTGGCAGCTGCAGCTGCTTCAGCTGCCTGGGCAGCTGTCCTTGCTGCCTGCTCAGCAGCCTCTTCAGCCTGCTTCTTCATAGAAGCAGCTTTCTGTGCTTCCTCCTTGGCTTTGTCAGCCAAAGCAGCACTGTCCCCCAGGGCAGCTAGCCTGTCCCTTTCTTGGGCAGCTGCCTGGATCCTTGCCCTTCTGGCATGGGAGGTGGTGCCACTGCCAGTTGGCCTCCACTTGTTGTTCCACCCACCATCCCCCCATTCCCAATCATCATCATCCCACTGCATTGGGACAACCTTTTGTCAAGGTCCAGGCTGCTCACCTTTTGGCAAGGTAAAGTTTTTTTTTGTCAGTTCCAATCCCTTTTGTCAAGAGAAGTTGGTTCAAGTTGTTCCAGACCACCTAAGGGTCCACTGGTCCAAAAAAAAAAGCGCGAAAAAAAAAACTCTCTAGCTTTTGAGCCAAAAGTCTGGGGTGGGACACATCAGGTTAGAAATGCTATCAGGAACCCAATTCAAAGTACCCCTTATAAATAGTTGAGGGTGCATTTGCTACAGCTATACTACACTATACCCCTACTGCAGCTGATGCTGCAACTAACACCTACTAGCTACTTAGCTGCAAGCCTACTACTACCACTACAACCAACAGATACAGGTGGTACAAAAACAAACAAAACACCAACATTGTTTCCATTACCTAGACAAGTACAACACCTAAACACATCCCCCCACCCAAGCTGCCAGCTCTTTTTGACACCCTTGAGGAAGGGCAGTGCACCAAGCCAGACCCTTTTTTGGGTAGGCATTAAACAATCCTTTTGTCAAGGAAAAGTAGTTCCTTTTGCCAAGGAACATTAAAAACCATTCCTTTTGCCAAGGAAAGCTATACCTTTTGCCAAGGAGCTTTGCTTCATTGTGCACAGCCAGTGCACAGCATTCAGCCTTTTGTCAAGGCATGCCATGCTGCTCAGCAGAGGCTTTCTCTGAGCTCCCTGCACTGCAGCTTGTCAAGGCCTTTCTTTTCAGCTTCCTGGTGGATGGTTTCAATTACCCTTTGGTACTGGATGGTTCTTTTTTTTGATACCTCCACCAGGAGCCTGAATTTTTCCTTGGGTGCAGACTGTGCAGTGATGTATGCCCTTTCAGGTTTCTTTGCATATGTCACCTTCAACTTATGCCACTTTTGGCCTTTGGGCTTCACTTCTGCCTGCACCCCTGCAGGTGACTTTCCTGAGCTGCAGGATGCAGCTGGTTTCCTCATTTTTGCAGTCCCTTTTGTCAAGGGTTTCTTCAGAGTTGCTGCTGGCCTCTTCTTTGCTTGTCCTTTTGGCAAGGCCTTTGGCAAGCCAATGGCTTTTGCCAAGCCTTCATCCTCATCTTCTTGGCCCCAGGCCTTGGAGGATTTGGCTGCCCTGGACCCTATCTTTTTCCTGAAGAAGGAAGTGTTCACTTTTGGCAAGTGCTCTTCATCTTCCAATTCTTCAGCAGACCTCTTACCTTTTGTCAAGGTTTTTTTGGCTGGTGGTGTTTTCAGTTCATTGGGGTATCCCTCTGAGTCCAGGGACATGTCATCCCTCATTCTTTCAGGCTCTTCCTGCTCATCTTTGTCTCTGATTTTGTCAACCAGATTCTGCAGCCTTTGGTAGTCTACAGATTTAAGCTTGGCAGCAGCTTTCCTCATCTCAGCATCATTTTTTAGCCTTCTGCAGTGAGCCATGACCACCACAAGCCTTTCAGTCTTGATGTTGGCCCAGACCTGCCCATTGAATTTTGAAGTGTTTAAGCTTGGCTTGTCCTTGGCCAAGGTCAGCAAACAGGTCCTGAGTGGACCTGAATGCACTTCGAAGGTGGCAGAGACCTTGACCAAGGACTCCAACAAGGCAATGATTTCCATCAAGCCACCTGGGTCAGTGGCTTGGTTCCTGGACACCAGCTCATAGGTGCCAAGGTCCTGTATCAAATCTTCATGGCAGCTCAGGCATTTGTACAAGACACCTTGGTCCACCATGGGTTTGGCAAAGTGTCTTGCCGGACCTTTGGACATCCTTTGGTCAAGGAATCTATACCTTTTGCCAAGGCTGCTCCCCCCTTTTGCCAAGGGTAGCTGAAACAGCTACCTTTTGCCAAGGGCCCACAAAGAAGTAACAACTAGTTTGAGCTGGAAAGATCAGTGCATGTCCATGCATCATAAACATGGGTTCAAGTTCACATGCCAAAAAAAAGCAGGTGGCCAAAGGGGAAAAAAGAGGAAAAAAACATCAAAAATCAACAGGAAAATCAACAGGAAAATCAATATGAAAATCAATATGAAAATCAATAAGGGTCCCCAAAAAAATCAACACAAAATAGATAAAAATATTGATTTTAAAATCAATAAGGGAAATATTGAAAATATCAATGCCAAAATCAATATTCAATATCAACAGAAAAATGGATGACTATATTGATTAGGATCAATATCCGATGGACAGGGTAATTTGATGTTCCAGTTTGATTCGAGCATGCAATTTTGAACAGTGACGCAGTCTGCAGTGATGTGTGCATTCCCATGCATCAAGTGTCGATCGCCTAGCCATTTTCATTCCAGGTTGGATCCGTTTGCTAGAATAGCTAGCTAAGCTAGATTCCAGAACCATTGCAGCCATGTCAAGTGTGGGGAATGCACACACTGCTTCCAATACATCATCTTCCTTTGACTTCCCGCCTACAACATCCTTTTTGGATTTGGTCTATACGAAGTTTGTTGAATTGGCCCTCCTCCTGTGTGGAGGACTTGAAGTTCCGGTGTTCAGCCTGAGCCTGCACATGAATTTTGGTGAGGGAATGACCAGTTCATCAACCATGTCGGCTGAGCCATTCGCAAGGTGGCCCACCAACAATCGCACCACTGGTCATACCAACATTTCACGTGAGGTGTCGAACTTTTTTCATTGGCTCCAACACCGGTTTCTATCTCTTCTTCTTGTCATGGTGCAGCACCGCTTGATTGGTCATGGGCGTCGGGTTTCAATGTGTGTTGACATGTCTGTCGGATTTGTCAGTGCAGTGAATACTACCATGAGGGTCACCATTGATACACCCATGTGGACCCCTCCCTCGTCCGGTGGTTTGCCACTGAATGGTGGCAATGGTGATGACATGTTCCGCCCAATTCCAAGAGGCATGACTTGGGCGAACTTTTGGGCAACCGCTGTCCATGATGACATGTCAGAGTCGATGTCTGAACCAGAATCATCAACACCTTCCAATCCTGAAGGTGGAAGCATGCCGATTGAGTGGCAGCCAGTGCGGCGTTCTGATGGATCTTTCTTTGGCAGGTTCCAACATTAAGCTCCAATAAAAGTTGGGGAGTATCTTAATCTTAATCGAGCCAAAATTTTGGCTGTTCCTCGTGTGGCAAAGTGGCAATATAGCGCCAACTTCCTACAGCTCTTGAGGGTTGATGTTGTAGTTGAACCGGTGCGACAACATAGCGCAGAGACTTGAAAATTAATCTTTTCAGCCGTGTGCAATGGTTCTATGGAATGGGAAAGACTCAGTCACTCACAGTCATTTACTTTGCCAAACATGTTTGTTGTTCAACCAGAAATGTAGTTTTTACAATGTTCAAATGATCTTTCCCGCCAGCCAAGCATGTCGCTCAGGACTGGCGAAACACTATGGCAATAAACATCTTGGGTACAGCACCGGTGCAGGACTGTGTGGATTCTGGTTTGCCTTCTTTAACTTTGTTTGACTCATCTATCGAGCCTATGTCTATCCACTCGTTTTTCCACAACAAGCGATGGTGCCAAGTGAGAAAGTTTACACAGGCGGGTTCTGGAGCAAACGCAAGTGGTTTTGAATTCACAAAACTATTAGCTGTATCAAATTTTTACAGGTGGACAAAATCTGTTTTGATCATTTTCAAACAATAACTGCGAAGCCAGACCCTGAGTTCCACAGGCGGTTCCTGTTGTGGAACTAGATTTGGCTTTGCTTGACCGTGCCGCAAGCGATTCAGATGACGACTCGCTGGCTGCTGGAACTGTTGACATCTTCATGCTAGAGAAGGCTCATGATGCCTGCACTCAGGCACTCAACAATTCGGGCATCGTGTCACCAACCATTGAGTCCAAAGTGCTGAATTGGCTTCACCAACTCAAGATAGTTGATGTTTTTGAAAATGGAGATATTACACTGGCTAGGAATTCCTTGAAGCACGGGACCACAGTCAGCGGAGATATTTTGGAGAGAGCTACAAGGGATAATCCTACAACACTAGAGGTGCAGGAGGACTTGAGGATCGATGACTGGACATTTGTGGATGATTTCCGTCAAGCTTCTATTGTTGCCAAGATTGCCTTTGCAGAAAATCCAGCATCGTATTTTTTCTTGCTGAAGAATGTCGCTGACATCTTGGCTACGTATGAAGAGCACAACTTGTTTCATCACAAACAGTCTGATCAATATTACAAAGCTATCGAGGTGGCAGTGATTCAGAACCCGGATCAGGTTGAAGAGATCCCCACTTACAAGAAAGCTGCCTTCTACATCCAGCTTCAAAAATTTCTCTCAGGTGACCACAGGAATGATCCCAGAAACGAGTTTGAAGAGAGACAAAGGTCCTGGTTTGGTGGAGTTTTTTTGTTGCCGAAACATATACCCCAATCAAGTTCCATGTCATATGCTAGGTACCCAGGTTGTAACAGTTCACAAGGGATGTTTGAGTAAACCTGTAAACCTCTACGCTCCGCCAACATGCACCACAGCAAGAAACATCAACGAGTCCGAGAACTTCCTAGAGGAAGTGGGCAGCGTGCACTTGGAGACACCAACCCTGACAACCCAATTGAAATTGTTTCTGGTTATGAATCTGATGTCGCAGGAGGTGATGTTCCTGAAGATAATAATCTTGAGGTTGAGGTCGAGGTCAGTGATGGTGGTGATGAATGTGTGGAAATTTTACCACATGCTGCACCACAAGGCAGGCTTTGTTTTTCAAGGTCTACATGTTTACTCCCTTTTCAGTACCTATACTATAGCCTTTGTCAAATTGATTGCGTTCGGCACACTTTCATGTTAAGTTTTGAACCCACCATTTTCCTTGTTTTACCGTGTCAGTTCTTGGAGAAGACATTCTGGAAGAGGATGTTGACATTGATGCCCCCTATGCACCAGCACCAGCGCCAGCTCCGGAAGAGATAGTGCAAGTGCAAGAGGGGCCTGTTGCAGAGGTTGCTCCTCCAGCTGCTGCGCCCCCAGCTGATGTTCCAGATGCTGTTTGGGATGTACTGTTTCCGAGA